TTTTATCTCTTTCCAAAACTGGTTCCAAGTTCGGTGTCAGAATGACACTTTATTGGAGCTGCGTACCGTCGCTTTGACTTGCTGGGCAATTTGGAAAGCACGTAACATTGCCATTTGGGATCATAAGACACTGCATCCAGGAGAGCTCAAGAATATGGTGTCGTCCATGGAAGCCCAATGGTCAAACAAGACTATTGCAGAGCGGGGGCGTACTCCACAGCGGCACGAGGTAAGTTTGCGGGCAGAGGCATACAGGTGTTTTTTTGATGCTGCGACATCAGTTTCGTAGGAGTCCATCTCCTTCGGCTGTGTCCTTTTTTATCCAGGAGGTGCCTTTGTGGCAGCGGCAAATGGAGGAAAACTTGGGCCTCTAGATCCTCTTTTGGCGGAAGCTCTCGCTTGCAAGGAAACATTATCTTGGTTACGGAATCGAGGTATTCGTGACGTTGAAATTCTTTCTGATTGTGAGGTTTTAGTGGGGGTATCAAGCAAGGAAGGGCCTTTGAGTGCTACTCTTATCTAGGTTCCATCCTTGATGATTGTGTTGAATTATTATCTTCGTTTACATCTATTGGCTTTCATTTTATTCGTAGGAATCATAATTGTATTGCTCATACTCTTGCACGGTGTGCTACGCCCCATTTTGTCTCATGGAGCAGTAGTGTATTGCACATGTATTGTCTCATGGAGCTGTATTGCACATGTAATTTCTTCTGAATGAAGTTTTGTTTTTCTGTCAAAAAAAAAATTATCTCCATATCTTGAATAAAAATAAATATATAAATAAATATAAGTTCAAGATAATTAACACAAATATCATACATTTTATTATCATTATTTATTTTAGAACAGACATAATAATACAAGCACACATGAAAATAAAATACAAATTTCCATTATTTATTTAAAAAGTAAACACACCATAACAGAGTAAATGAAAATGTTTAAATCTTAGTAGTTCCACCAAAGGTCACTTCATCACCAATTTCATCATCATCCATGTAGAAATCGGACACGTCAAATTTAGGCAAAATTGGATTGATATCATCAGCATAATTAGCTTCCACATTTTTCCCTTTTCCTTTTGTGGAAGCTTGGTATAATTTAAGCAAATGTTTTGCCGTTCGACATTCATTCGCCCAGTGTCCTTTTATGCCACATTTGTAGCATTCACCACTTGGTTTTGGCTTTTCATAAGTTTTAGCCTGTGGTGGTTTGAATTTTCCTTTTCCTTTGGAGGATGATCCATTTGGATTTTTATAGCCCCTGTTTGGCCCTTTGTTGCGGTTATTTCCGCGGCCATGTTTAAAATGTCCACGTGCACCACCTTGGACAACATTTGATTCCGGTGCTGAACCACGATCAGGATGACCAAAATTTGTAGGGGTACACTCGGTGGGCCTCATGTTATGATTTTTCATTAAGAGCTCATTATTCTGCTCAGCAATAAGTAATATTGAGATTAACTCAGAATACTTTTTAAAACCCCTTTCTCTGTATTGTTGCTGCAATATCACATTTGACATATGCATGGTGGAAAAAGTTTTTTCCAACATATCATGATCTGTGATATTATGTCCACATAATTTTAATGTGGATGTGACTTTGAAAATAGCAGAATTATAGTCACAAACAGACTTAAAATCTTGGAATCTTAAATTGATCCATTCATATTGAGCTCTTGGCAATAGGACTTTTTGTTGATGTCCATATCT